ATGGGGGCTAAAGTCTTTATTCTCCCTTTCCAAATGATCATGTTCACAAAGTCAATAAAATTCTACTGAGCCCACAAAAAGAGAGTCCCATGTATCAGCCTCTTCCACATTTCCCACTTCAGCATATTCCCCTGTATTCCTCCAAGCCATCTAGCAGTTTTGCTTCTAGGGATAATGTTCTTGTTTCTTGGCTCTACAACCCAGTTGTGGGTTTTCACCAGTACTAATAACCATCACTAGTAACAAGTGCTTTTTGATGGCAAACACAAGCAAAATGAGGTTCAAAAAGAACAATACAGTATCAGCAGAAGGAGAGGACTCAGTGTAGGTCACCAAATGTGAAGGACATCATAACAGGGACCAGTAAATACACAAAAAGAGAGATGAAAGCTTAGTCACAAGTACTTGTGTGCACATCACATGAGGTTTTATAACCCTTCAATGACTAACACATATTCAAATACATACATTGGCAATATGCAAACTCCATAATTCATAATAAAATGCATGTGAAATGCTTTTCAGAAAATTCATTAATGAATACTGTTCATAAAATTTATGCATCCTTAACTGCAGGCTAAATAAACCAAGCGGGATGTTCCCAAAATGGCAGTGAAAAATTTACCTGAACATGAATCAATATTTGCATTTAAACAATCCCTCTTAACTTAGTCACATTTATGAAAGGAAATGTAAAATGTTTCTTTAATTCTAGTTTCACTGTAACTTTGAATCGAGATACTGGCAATAATGATACTCACATGTAAGAACTGTCCTTCAGAAACTCCATCTCTGTATAGAATAATCCGATGTGGTTTGTAGCCCCCTGTACTCTTATAAAACATTATCAGCAGTTCTCTGAAACATATGATTCGTGTTGCATTGATATATAAAATCATCAGATGCCATTCAAGAAGACATGATAATAATCACAATAAAAGTGGTGTATATCAGTTAAAATGCGGTAGCTGCGAGCAGGTCTATATTGGCCAAACCAGTATGGAATTTAAAACCAGACTTAAAGAGCATGTCCACATTATATTCAACATAACAAAAAGTACGCTCAACACATCCTCGACCACGCACATGAATACGGCCCAATGGAGGATATCATGGACGTGTTAAGAATAGCCTCGAAAGGTAAAATGCTTGACATTTTGGAAAAATTCCACATCTATAAAACCAGCAAAAAGCAAAACATCATAAATGAACAAAACGCCCATGACTCTGATGTGTTATTTGACCTGCAAATAAACAGAAAAAAGTAAATTTCACATGCAATAGTTGGCCACACTACAGTGAAACCTCGATGCATCGTTTTCGGCGGGGGTGGGAAATAAAAACGATGAATGCGGGAAAACGATAGATGCGGGAAAGCATTAAAAATTAAAAAAAAAAACAATGTTTCTCTTTCAAAGTTACTTCTTTTTACCAAAAAAGTCTTTAATGGACAACTGGTTTGTCGAAACTTTACGTTTTAGACCAAACAGAGCACTTTCCACGTTCAAAATGTTTTCCTCGTCACGTTCACTAATATTAAGCGCATAAAAGAACAACTTCACTTTCGCCAATGCAGCGTGTGCTTCGGCAAAGCTTCGTCGTCTTCCTCTTCCTCACCACTCC